TCGTCACGGATGCTTCGGCTTCAAAGCATGGACAAGGTGGTACTTTGTATGTTACCAGAAACAGTAAACTCCTTCTGTGTGCTTTCTTTAGTGCTAAATTACGAAGCAAACAACCTACATGGCTACCGTGCGAGATCGAAGCCCGGCCAATAGCACCGCCGTAAAGCACTTCGGTCCTTATGTCATTCAGTCCTCTAGCCACCCTATAGTCCTAACGGACAGCAAACCATGTGTCCAGGCATATGAAAATCTCTGCAGAGGCGAATTTTCCACCAGCCAAAGAGTCACGTTATTCTTGTCAACCCTCAGCCATTACAATGCCACTCTTCGTCATCTTGCGGGCAAAGTAAATATTCCTTCTGATTTTTCGAGTCGAAATTCCCCAGACTGCACTCACCCAAATTGCCAAATCTGCTCTTTCGTTGACCGATCTACCACTTTAACCGTTTTCGGTACTTCCATTCGTGATGTCATCGATGGCAATGTTCGTCTTCCCTTCACCGGTCGTCCTTCATGGAAATCCATACAGAGTGAATGTCCCAGTCTTAGGCGTACCCACGCCCACCTCAGCCAGGGCACTATACCCTCCAAGCGACAGACAGACGTAAGAGAGCGTTAAGCGTTACCTCCAGGTTTCCCACATTGCCAACGACGGCCTTATCGTTGTCCGTGTCAATAATCCGTTACTTCGCCGCCAGGAACAAATTGTTGTCCCACGACATGCTCTTGCTTCTCTATTAACTGCCCTCCATATCCAGCTTGACCACCCCAGCAAGTACCAACTTGGACTCATTGTACGTAGATATTTCTTTGCACTTGACCTTGACAATTCTATCGAATCCGCCACTTCTTCCTGTCACCTCTGTGCCTCACTTAGGTTCAGTCCAATAACTTCTACCCCTCAAACCAGGGAAGACGCCCCTGTTGTCATAGGCCTCAGCTTTGCAGCCGATGTCCTGCGACGTACCCGCCAAAACATTCTTGTAGTACGCGAATGCGCTTCTGCATTCACCGTTACTAAGATCATCTCTGATGAACGCCACGACACATTGCGCGATGCCTTAGTTGAACTGTGCATCGAGTTACGTCCCCTGGATGGTCCGGCCGCAGTTATCCGCATAGACTCCTGTCCGGGATTCGCCTCCCTTCGTCATGACAAGACCCTTGACCAGTTTAGAATTTCCATTGAGCTTGGTCGTGTAAAGAATACCAACAAAAATCCAGTGGCTGAAAGGGCTGTTCAGGACCTTGAAAAGGAGCTTCTCATCATCGATCCCACGGGTGGGCCTGTCTCCCACTTGTCCTTTGCCATTGCTACCGCCACGTTAAACTCCAGAATCCGTTCTAGAGAACTTTCAGCGAGAGAGATTTGGTACCAGCGAGACCAGTTTACAAAATCTCGTAATGACATTACACTCATACAGAAACAGCATGACCAACGGATGGTAAACCATGAACATAGTGAACGTTCCAAATGCCCCAACAAACTCCAACCGACCCGTCCTGACGTTTTAACAGGAGACCTTGTGTGCTTGCACTGCGACTTAAATAAATCAAAGGGTCGAAACAGGTATATGGTCTCATCAGTCGACGGTGAATGGTGCAAAATTCGGAAATTCACCGATACACAACTTAGGTCCAACACTTTCAGGGTGAAGAAATCCGATTGCTTCAAGGTTGAACCTCCCATTTCTCCATTTGTACCACCGTTAGATTTTCACACACCCAAAGAAGATGATGGTCAGTTAGAACTCCCTGTAACCCCTCCCTCCCTCACCGCTAAGTTGTCAGACAATCCCACTTCCCCTAAATGTCCGCTTCCTGTGACCCATCCGCATCACTCTGGCCCACACAGCATTGACCCCATCGACACTACCACCTCGCTCCCAGACTGCCACACCACTATGTCACCCCTTAGTGATACTACCACAGATCCAGTTTCCCCAATCGGTCTCTCCCCAACCAAACCCCCTCCTGTTCTCCGGCGTTCGACCAGACTGCGTAAAACACCTAAGTTCCTTGATGTTTACGAACTCCATTGGTCTGACCTTTTTTTGGTCTCCCAAGTAATAACCTCATTTGAGATGAGTTTCTTATGCTTTTTATTTCACATTTTGCTTTTGTTGTGTTGTGTATTTCTGGTTCCTCTTTTCCTTAAAACATAAATAAATAAATAATAATTTTTAAAAAAAGCTTAAAGGGAAAAGAGGTCACGCCAATTGTGGTTAGACTATTGTTTAACCTGTTGATAAGTACTGCCGCGCATTAATTTGCATTGGCCTTTTTGCTTATCCCAGCATGCTCTCGCGCCGTTGTTGTTGGGGCGTGTTGTTTGTTAACGGTGACCCTGAATTGTTCGCTGTGTTTTTCAGCAATAAACTATAAAGTGTTGTGGATGCTCGAGTGTGTTCTTCTTTCATATAAAGTTTACAATTAACTTAACTGGTAAGTTTGTTTCTAATAGAGCAAGCATTGATATGGAAAAGTTTTAGAAAATAAAATTCAGAATGTAGTGGTTTAATTGTCACTAAGTTACTCCGATCACAAACGATTTTACTGTTACGCTTTTGACAATATCTAAGTCTAGGCCTGTTGTTGTTACCATATCAATCACAACTTCAATCTTTCGAATTTCGTGTTTACCGGCCTTTGAACCTCTCAGGTTTTCTCTGAATACACACACTGAAAAATGATGGATTACTGTAAAAACACTTGCCCCCATTAAGTGTTTTCAATTCATCAAATAAGCTGAAATATGGAATTATATTAACTTCATGAGGTGGGGAGCTGAATTAATGTTGATAACAGTTGGTCAGACCTGTTTTTATATTTTTTTTAACTCTAACGAACAAATCTTTCTAAACAATAAAATTGTCATATATATAAACTATATATTATATTATATAAAATATAAATTGTATTGAAATATAAATTTCAATACAATTTATAAAGCTAAAAAAAGATGTTTATGTTCTATTTACGTTCTTGAGACTGTAGATGTCGTTGCTGTTGATATTTTCTGCCATTGCCACCAATGCTGCCGCGGCCGTCTCATCACCTCGCTTCTGCCGTTGCTGTCGTCATGTCCGAAGGAGGTATTATGGTACAGTTTGGAGAAACATTTGTTTATGAGTCCGATGAATAAACACCTCATTTTAGAACTTTAATTTGATCCCTTTACGTTTCAAAATAAAAGTATTTCATTAACATGTGATGTGCCAAATGTGATATAGACTTCGTGATGCACATATGCATTTAGTAATCAATTTTTTTATTTGTTTGTTTGACCTTCCGTCCGACGGTACGTCCATACTTTCTTGCATCCGTCCGACCATACGTCCGTACATTCATGCATCCTGTCCGTCCGCCCGTCCATCCATCCATCCACTCGTTCCTTCGTTCGTTCGTTCGTTCATTCATTTATTCATCCATCCGTCTCTTCATTTATTTATTTATTGTTTTTTGTATTTAGAATATAGACAAAAATAACATGTATTTATTTATGATATTTTACCAGTAAACATTGTTAATTTAATCTGAATTATATTAACGCAACTGCTGTTGCTAAAGTGACCAATCGACTATGTTTCGTTTGGTCAATTGTGGATATCTTACTGCAAATTAACGCTGATCAAAAGAAATCTATTTTACAAACGATAATAATACTTAAAGAAAAATTGTTGTCTAATCGGCCATGTTTGTTTATGTCACGTAGAAAACTTATTGAGTAGTAACGCTGATAACGCACTCTGGTTTGTGTTAAATAGGTTAACTTAAGTCTAGTTTACGAACCAGCCGAATAAAAATATTACTCAACGAAAAATTTTAAACGAAAAATTAGCAGTCGAATACGGCACATTACAGTTAAGCCTTAATTATTTGACCTCGTAATGTGTAGATGAAGTCTCATTAAAAAACTAGTTGATAAATTCTGCACTATTATTTACAAATGCGCTAGATTCAGGTGCTGCATCATATTGTGAATTTGCTGGTATGGTAACATTATACAGATATTGATTTCTTATAAATGGACAATTGAACTGGATTGAAAAGCCTACGATTAACTTTCATACTGCTATTTGTTTATTCAACAATCGTCAAACACAATTAGCCGTGAATGCATTCTTCAATGGTAAATTAATGTTGACCAAATCATGGTCGTATGAATAACTGAAGTTTTAAAATTTACACTATTCTTATAAAGCAAATTTAAGTGAAATAATTATACTTGTTTTTGTAAACAATGTCTATTTGACAAATCACTAATGGCGGATGCCAGGTTTTAAAATTAAAAAGTACTCGTTTAGTTTGAAGCTCTGTACACATGACCGAGATTTTCATTAACAAAAAATGTCATATAGTCGTAATTTGCCTATATATAGTCATGGTGTGATGTCATCATCACCATGTTTAGGCATGCTACATGTTTGTGTCAACTTATTTTCATTGTCTAGGCAGGGCTTAAGCTACGTTCACATCAAGCCCTGATTCCGCTCCGGAATCCGGAGAAAAAAATCGTGAAAAATGGGTTCAGTGGTAAAGAATAGGACAGTTCACATCAAATTTGTACGATTTTTAATCTGGACTCCGGATCCGGACCAATGGATCTGAAAGCAATTTGTATCCTGAAATCGTACGTTTATTTTTTTGGACCATTCAGCAACAAGTTTGGTTGGTTAGAACCAATCGAACGCATAGTACTTAACCCAAACAACCGTGTTTCGTCCGCGATGTGAACGCAGCGTTCAAAAACGTAGCAACTCACGATTTTTTGTCCCAGCTCCAGACCGCATTTGGGCTTGATGTGAAAGTAGCCTATTGCAAGAAAACTTATTTAGCACCTCCCTTTACTGCTTGAGAAAAAAGTTTCTAAAAAACTTTAATCTAGAGATTTTATTTGTTATTAATTATCATTCAGCTACCACAACATATTATGTTTTACAAATCGATTGATCATATCGTTTTGCTTGTATTGATACACTAAAGATTATAACACAAAATTTAAAATTAATGCTAGTTTTTATTTTTATTCAATTTCCCCTTATGCCAATAAAAAAGCAACTTGCTTTAATAATTATTAATATCAAATTTAGTTAATGATGTCTTAAGATACCAAATCTAAACTACCATACTTTACAAGCCCTTCCAATCTCTAGTATTCAATTAAGTAGGTATGTAATCAGTTCCAATTATAGAGAAGCATTAATGTCCTAGATACCTATATTAATGCATCTTTAAAGTGTCTATCAAAGTAATTATAAATCTATTAATATTGGACCTAAAATACTGGCTTAGTTATACCATTTTAATAACGATGCTTAAATAAAAAGAATCATAAAAAAAAAGCTGTACATAGGTCAACATACTTTTAACCACCTTCCTTCGCTTCCCTGCATTTAATTTTGCAAGCATACATTGAAATTTAAATAGTATTTTTTTTTCTCGGTAAATTTACAAAAATGAGAAAGTTTTTCGATAGAAACTTACAAGTTCATAAATTAAAAAGTTTTTAACTATAATACACTGACCACAAAAATGTAGCTTCACACGTATATGTGTGGCTCTACTATTTAGTTGTAGATACATTGATGGGATTGGTAACTTTGTTATTTTTTCCACGACAAAAACGCTGAATCGCAGCAATGATTCCAAATTCCAGAAATTCGATGACAGTGATAATGCTCATGCCGCATAGCAGACCCATGTTGCCACCGATTTCAGCTGTACAAAACAAAAAGGAAAACGGCCAAAGAGCAATAAATAATAATAAATAATAATAATAATAATAATAATAATAATATTAATAATATTAATAATAATATAATATTATAATTTAGGAGATAATTAACATTTAAAATGTTAATCCTCGAAAACTTATGAAGTAAATTTAAGAGGGGAAACGTGAATTGATTTAAAGTACCATAGGAAGCAAAAACAATCAAGGAGTGATGATTTTATGTGAAAGTTATTATGTGACCATTCATTCATCATATGTATTTTCAGTCATTCATTCATTCTTTAATAAGAAGTGGATACAGTACAATTAAAAAAAAAAACAAATGCTTGAGACAATATATAATCTTAGTTGGCTAGTATTACCTATAGGGTGAAAACACTCTGTCTCTCAGGGCTGACTAAGGAGACGTTGAGGATATGGGATGTCGTGGGATAAACATAATCTTGTCATTATACGTTGTATAGATTCAATATATTGTATATGACCTATTTTGGTGCTTCAAAAAACTTTTTAGGCGGCGATCCACTTTCAGACTCTCGATTCTTTGGCGACCTAAGGCATATAATTGGCATACCAAAATGATATTTGTATGTTAAGCTGATTACTTAGGCCTACTTTACTTGCCACAAGCAAATAATAATGCTACTGTTTTCTGATGACATATTGACGTGTTTTTCAGGGATCTATTATGCTTCTATAAATATAATAGCCATAACATTTGCCTCCTTTATCAAATAAGTATAAGTCGAATACAGAGTAGATAAAATGTGTGATTTGTGCACAAGAGTGCACAAGACGTTTGATATCCTGTCCGGATTGTTTTATTTTATTATATGGAGCAGCTATTGATCCAGTACCGTAATTCGAAATAGAGAGGCCCCGGCAAGGACTTTCACAGATAAATTGTCAATACCAGATTAGCCCACCATGGTTGGGGATGAGATAAGAACGTTTATTATTATGGCCAACATAGATGGCCGGAAATGAATATAATTTCATTTTTTTCCACATTAAAAAAATTAATAAATAAAAATTCGCCGCTGTAAAGAATATTTACTAAACTCATAATTTTGAAATGTTTAAATCAATTACAAATTTTCGACTTGTGTACAGTTACAGCTTACTTGTAAATAATAATTGAAATATGAAGCTGTACGTTCCCACTCCCTCGCAAAAAGGCGCAAGCGAACTCAAAATTTAAAAAAGCAACTGATCCTTTTAAACATGTTTTTAATTAACTGATACGTCGTGCTATTATTCCTGCCTAATTAATTTATCAATATGTGGGGACACTAGCTACAGGGCAACCATGAGAGTACGGTAGATTCTAGGTTTTGGGTTAACAATAAATTTATAGCATTCCGTCTTCCTAGCTACGCCTGTGTGTATCTCTTGAGTCGAGGTTATGCAGGAGTATTTTCCACTTCGAAATACGCTTTACTAATAGTTTAAGAAGCGGGGGAAGCAGCCTCGCGACCCCCAGATTATGTTTTAACGACTCAAAGCAGGGACGTATCTTATATGGAACCCAAGCAGAAATTTTGTATTCGATATTAGGTCGGATAAGAGAGTTTAGGATAATTACAAGGCTAGAATGTCGAACAAGCCTAAGAATAAAACCTAGAGTTCTAGAAGCAGTCTTGAAGACCTGCAGTCCCAATCGAGATTATCGGACGCAGTAACACCAAGATACTATGGATGTACATAAGATCAGTGCCATTAATGTTATATTCTTGTTTGTTTGTTTGTTTGTTTTTTTTGTTTTTTTTTTCTAATGAATAGCGGATCTCTTTAAATTCATAAGTTGACTTTTATTTTAATCACGTTTCATATAACTGGACAAGTTATAGGTGAAATTAAGATCTGATTGTAACGAAAGAATATACACTTAATACTTGTATAACAAATACTGTCATCTGCTTATTGAAATATATCAGAATACTATTCTGAAGATCCAGAACAAATAAGTGAAGTAAAGTGGGGTAGTTAGCAAACCAACACAGAATAGTCCTACAAAACAATTTAAGGAGTTTATTAAGTAGCATTAAGTTTTTGAATAAACGGTTGACTAAATTTGAGCATTGTTGACGTAACCCATCTTGAGCAGAAGATTTACCTCTCTTAAGTTTATTAATTAAACTAAGCACCGCAATATGATTGGTTCTTATACAGTTGAGTGGAAGAAAGCCAACGTGTTCCCTGCAGCCAAAATATCGGTAAACCGATGGTAGAGGAATTATCATAAGAATTTGAAATTATTGGCAATTTACATTGCCGAGGCACTTACAAGGCTGTCAATATTTCAAGACAGGGAAAATACTCTCAGACTGGAAAAATGCCACCATTGTCCCCATTCAAAGAAATGTTTAAGATCAAGCATTACTAATTACCAACCGATATCTCTTTGTTCTGTTGTTGGGAAAGTGTTGGAGAGAATTGCTTCGAACAGACTTACATTTTATGATAAGCACTTATGGCTTAGTCTATAATAACCATAGAGCTATTAAACAACTAGAGTGCTGACAAGATGGCGCAGCAATGCAGAGTTATGTATGCGTACCATCCAAGATGGCCGTCGTAGTAAAGCGCCACCTTCAGGCTTAGTATACATATTATTACAAGCCCTCTGACTGACTATTATTTCATTAATGATAATGAGTAATGGTAATAACAAATTATTCAACTATTGTAGCCAAAACGAGGCCAGTGGAGCATCTTATTCAAAAATAAGTACCAAGGAATTAAAATTAAAATCGTGTACATTACACCCAAACACCACAACGCTCGAGTTTCAAACATACGGGTAACTAGCTGTACTGAACTTTCTGAGTAAATTGAGGGCGCAATTGCAAATGATGGTGCTTAGCGAAATTTGATTGGCTAAATTCATGGCAGCCATCTTGGATGGTATACACACACACAGTTCTGCGTATTTCGAACATCGAATACATTGCGGTTAGCGCTCTAGTATTCTTATTATATCTCTATGATAATAACCAACATGGGTTTGTAAAGGGCAGATCCTGCACATCGCTGATCTGTTCCGTACATCACCATTGGGCCACCATTATCAATGAGAGAAAACCACCTCACATATATGTAATATATTTAGATTGGAGCAGCGCTTTTGATGAAGTCAACCATGCCATTCTGTCAAAAAAAATCATAAAAACGGTATATGTGGTCCTATGTGGAACTAGTTTGCATCGTTATTATGTAACCGTTTCTAGAAGGTAAACTTTAGAGGTTCATTTTCAGAGAGATCTGCAGTTACCTCCGAGTCCCACAAGGGTCTGTTTTAGGGCCATTCTTATTTAACATTTTTGTTCTAGACCAGGCAGACAATATCTCTTCATATACCTCCCTTTATGCAGATGGTATGTCTTGTATGAGGCTATCGTTGACCTGCAGATGAACACGTCCTTTAGTCCGATTTAGATACTATTATACAATTGGAGTAAAAATAATCACATTACTAATTAAATGCAAAATAATGAGAATCACCAGCTCAAAAATTGTCAGTGAATCCTTGAAAACTTACATTATTAATGGTTCCCAAATCGACATCGTAAAACGTTATGAGTATCTTGGATGGTGTTATTATTTCTTTATTTAGGGTGCGAGAACATATGAAAACAGTCATCAAAAACATCATGTCACTTAGATTTTATCAAACGGCTCATTCCTTTTTCTAATTCAAACTCGTATTAAAATTATATACTGCTCTAGTTCAACCTATGGTGTCCCAGCTTAGTATCCTTATTAACAAGGACAAATTCAACAACGTGTTCAAAGAAGAGCCATAAGGGCCTGTTATTTATTTATCAATTGTCCACCTTATGAGGAGAGGCTCACTAACCTTAGAATACATTCTTTAAAACACAAATTTAATTCATTGACAACTTTATTTATTTGCAAGTGCCTCTACCCAGTTCATATTGTATATATTTCTATTTGTTTCTGTCAACCAAAGACACACTGACAATTTGAAATTTACACATGCTTTCGCCAGAACTAATGCTTTAAAACACATAGCTTTAAAAAGTTCCCCGGACTCTGTAATGTTTTACCTGCAAATATTCGAAATTTACTACTTTTTAACATTATAATTTCTTGACTGAACCTAATTTTGTAATTTTTTTTTTTTAAAGATTGTATTGATGTTTTTTATACTGTACTTTAATGTTTATTGGATTGGATTGGATTTATTCGGTGTAAACACCAAGGATAGCCCACGAAAGTCTAGAAGAAAACTTATTTCCAGTGGGGTCCTTCTGGTGGTGATTGGACAGTACACCGGGAGACAATCCCTTACTCTTTTCCGAAGAGTGTACTGTGTTCTTTAACGTGCACATGGGCCATAAATGCACACGGGACCAACGGCTTAAACGTCTCATCCGAAAGACGGGTGCGCTATGTAACTTGTATTTTAGCCCTCAAGCTGAAACACAAGGAGAGGCAGCGATGGGAATTGACCCGGGGACCTAGAGATCTCCACGGTTCAGCGCACACACAGTGGCTACCCCCAGATTAGCCGACTGAGCTAAGCTGCTCTGTCGTTATATACTATTATACTATTATATTTAATCTTTGTATATAGAATTATGATATTGTATATTTCGTTGTTGTCCTGAAGAGAACCCCTCGACAGTAGATTAGATTTTTTACTTTTGGGCAACCATGCAACGTGACAAAAACTACTATTTTTATATATTATGAAACAATACCGGTAAATGAAATGAAAAAAAAAAAAAAAAATTAAACAGAAAAAAAAATCATTAAAACAATTTGTAATAAGTCTAAATTCACTGGCGATTTCATTACCAATCCTAGAAACATTTGAGGATGGCATCTATAGCTTGTTTGAGACACAAACAATTCTAAACCACCTTATAATTTTTTGTCAGCGAGCTCAGAAATATAGTTGAATAGGATTTTCTGACTTCATATAAAACTTTGTTATTATTATATACGTCGCATTATC